GTCACTTATTACTGAAAAAAACGTAAACCCTAAACCCTCGTAAACCCTAAACCCTAAACCCTAAACCCTAGGAGGCAATTGGGGGCACTAAACCCGCAATCGTCTGTATGAATAAATGTGAACGATAAACTAGAGAGGCCCCAAATACAATACAGTCACTATCGTCACTTATTACTGAAACAAACGTAAACCCTAAACCCTCGTAAACCCTAAACCCTAAACCCTAAACCCTAGGAGGCAATTGGGGACACGAAACACGAACTCTTCCGTATGAATAAACGCCACGGGATAAACTAGAGAGGCCCCAAATACAATACAGTCACTATCGTCACTTATTACTGAAAAAAACGTAAACCCTAAACCCTCGTAAACCCTAAACCCTAAACCCTAAACCCTAGGAGGCAATTGGGGACACCAAACCCGCAATCGTCTGTATGAATAAACGGGACAAATGATTCGCCAAATACAACACAATCACTATCATAACTTATTGCTGCACCAACGCAAACCCTAAACCCTAAACCCTCATAAACCCTCAAAAACACTAAACCCTAAACACTAGGCGGTGAGACCCAAGTCCTGAGTGAATGGTTTGCATGTTGGTTTGCTGCTGCTGCAGCTGCTGCGGCACATGTTGCAGTCTACGCATGCACCAATAAGTGTTTATTAGGGTTTAGGGTTTAGGGTTTGGCGCACCTGCATCAACAACTCCTGCTGCGCTCAACTTTGCTGCTGTTGCTTCTGCCTCTGCTGGTGCAACAACATAAGGAACGCCAAATGCTTCCAACAAAGCAGCAAGCTGCAGCAAGAGCAGCAGCAGCAGCAGCAACAAGAGTCACACCATGAAGAAGCAGCAGCAGCAACAACAACAACAGACCAACAAATTGCATACAATTCGCAACGCCAAAAGCAGCAGCAGCAGCAGCAACGCAACGTTGGGTGCAAATACCAAGAACAGCACCAACAACAACAGCAGCAGCAACAGCAGCAGCAGCAGCAGCAGCAGCAGCAGACCTGTGCCTTAGTCTCATCATCAGCAATATCTCCTCTAGCCTGAAGACGTCCGAGTTGATAAATTAAATCTTGGCGTTCGTCCTCTAGTGCGTCTCTAAACATTTGCTGCTGCTGCTGCTGCTGCTGCTGCTGTTGCTGCTGCTGTTGTTGTTTGTATATGTCGGTGCGGGTTACTCCTGCTGCAGGGGGAGGACGACGAGACGTTCCTGCTGCTGCTGCTGCTGCTGCTACTGCTGCTCTTGTTGCTTCGGATGCTGTTGCATTCCAATGCTGTTTCCGTGAACTTATCGGTGCTGTTGCTGCTGCTGCTGCTGCATCTGATTCTGCTGCTGCTGCTGCTTCGGCTTCTTCTTCTTCTGCTGCTGCTGCTGCTTCTTCTGCTGCTATTGCTGCCTCCTCTGCTGCTTGATGTAAATCTAATAAGGCTTCTATTTCTGCGCGTTCTGCTGCTGCTTCTGGGTCATCTTCATCAGCAGCAGCAGCAGGTACTGCTGCTGCAGCAGGTGCAGCAGCAGCAGCAGAAGGCTGCTGATGCCGCCGTCGTCTCTGCTGCTGCTGCTTCTGCTGCTGCTCCACGTGCTGCCGTAAAAAGGGAAAGACATTCAACCATAAACCCATGAAGTCGTCTTCTTCGCCATCCTGCTGCTGCTGCTGCTGCTGCTGCTGCTCTTGCTGCTGTGGCTGTTGCTGCTGCTGCTGCTCTCTCACTGCAGCAGAACTGGAAGAGCTACCACTAACAGACATGTCCTTTGACGCTGCAGGTGCTGCTGCTCCGGAGTCCTGCTGCTCCTGCTGCTCCTGCTGCTGCTGGTGCTGCTGCTGTTCTCTATCCCCCTTTACTGTCTGGGGCTCTGGCAGCGTCAGCTGCTGCATCTGCTGCTGCTGCTCCTGCTGCTGCTGCTGCTGCCGCTGCTGCTTTCTGGAGCTCTTGGGGGAGAACGGATTACTCTTAACCTTAATAAGACCCACTGATGCTGCTGCTTCTGCTGCTGGTGGTCCTGCTGCTGCTGCGTCTGCTGCCGCGAGGACGGGGGACCGCTGTGCCGCTGATTCCGTTGTTGCTGCTGCATCTGCTTCGTTGCCCTTTGCTGCTTCTGCTTGCGTGTCTATTGCTGCTGCTGCTGCTGCTGCTGCTGCTCGGCCTCGCATGCGGCGACGCTGCGGGGAAGACTTTATTTGTGCGCTAGCTGCTTCCGCTGGTTGTGTTGTTTCTTCTGCTGCTGCTCTTGCTGCTGCTGCTGCTGCTGCTCTTGCTGCTGCTGTTGCTGCTGCTGCGGAAGCAGCAGCTGCTGCTTGTTCTGGTGTCGCTGCTGCTTGCGCTGTTGGCCCTGCTGTTGGTGTTGCTGCTGTTGCTGCTGCTGCTGCTGTTGCTGCTGCACCACCACTCCCTAGGCCCCCCATATTAATTCGAAAGCCTCCAGCCCTTGGTCGCTGCGGCTGTTGCTGCTGCTGCTGCTGTTGCTGCTGTTGCTGCTGCTGCTGCTTCGGCGGTTCTTGACCTTGCTGTTTCTGTTCGGGTTCCTGCTGCTGCTGCAGTTGCTTCTGCTGCAGTTGCTGCTGCTCAGGTTCTATAGGCAGTATCGGTTTGTCAAGCTCGCAGTCCTCAAAGTCGTCATCGCTATCTGCTGCTGCTGTTGTTGCTGCTGCTGCTGCTGTTGCTGCTGCTGGGTCCGCTACAGCAGCAGGTTCTACCTCTGCTGTGTCTCCTTGAAGGAAATCCTTACCAAAGATTTCCTCATCAGGCAGCAACGCCAAATGCTTCTCTGAGCAGCAGCAGCAGCAACAGCAGCAGCAGCAGCAAAAGGCACAGCAGACGCAGCAACCAACAGTAGTAGATTCAGCAGCAACGGAAGAGCCATCTGCAGATAAGGCAGCAGCAGCAGCAGCAAATGGTGCAGACCAACAGCAACATATGCACTATCAGGAGCAGCACGACCATCAACAGCAGCAGCAGAACAAACAGCAGCAGCAGCAGCAGCAGCAGAAGCAGCAGCAAGAGCAGCAACTCACTTCTGCCGTCAGCCATTACATAGAACTCATCGTCATAACATTCCTCTTTCAGCTGCTTGCTGCTGCTGCTGCTGCTGCTGCCGAAGACGACCTGTAGCTGCTGCTGCCTCTCCTCAGCAGCAAGAGCAGCAGCAGCAGCACCAGACAGCAGCTCCGCGGGAGTAACAGCAGTTAGATCTATCTTAGAGTTGCAGCGCAGCAGCCGTTGCCGCTGCTCTTCTTGCTGCTGCTGCTGCTGCTGCTGCACTAAATCATTGAGAAATTTCCTCCTCCCTTGCCGGGGAACAAGGCCACATAACTCCATCCACGTTGTACCGCTGCTGCTGCTGCTGCTGCTGCTGTCGCTGCTGGCGTAGGGAGGGTTCGGCTGCCGTTGAGTTGGAGCTGCAGCCACACAAAGACTCCTCTAAACCCTAAACCCTAAACCCTAAACCCCAAGCCCTAAACCCTAAACCCTAAGAGCTGGAAGCAGAAGGTCTAGACTCACATCTCTCAGCCTTGAGGCCATCAGCTGTTTGTTGCTGCTGCTGCTGCTGCATGCGCCTGTGCTGCTCTAATTCTTGCGGCAGCTGCAGCATCGGCTGCTCCTGACGCCGCTGCTCCTCCTCCTCTGCCTGTTGCTGCTGCCTCCGCAGCTCCTGCTGTTCCTCAGCCATTCGTGCCTTTACATTATTTATCTCCTGAAACAGCAGCAGCAGCAGCAGCAGCAGCAGCAGCACAAGTGTCTCCTCGGCAGCAGGAGCAGCAAAAGGGCAAAGCGAATGTAAAAAGGGTGGAAAGAAGCAGCAAGAGGGATAAGAAGAAGAGCAAATGGAGTAAAAAAGGAAGAAAAAGAGTAAAAAAGAGGAAAAAAAGAGTAGAAAATCGGTACAAATGAATAAAGGAATAAAACAAGTATATAAAAGGATAAAAGAAGGTACAAAAAGGGATAAAAAGAAGGAAAAAGGGAAAAAAGGAGTTACCCTATTAGTCTGTATAGCCCTTATATATCCCTCTAATTGAACATTTGCAAAAACATTTGAATCGACGCCACATCTTATAGCTCGACGTCGCGACGCGGCGGACCAGTGGTCACGTATTTGTAATAAGACCTGAATATATATGTACGTTTTTTTTTGTTTATTTATTTACTCTGTAACTATTAGTCAACTTTTTTTTATTTATTAACTAAATTGTAT